CTTTTTTAAATTGAATGTTTAACTCACAATTCCTTTAATGCCATTTTTCAAGCCTTCAATGTTACCATAGAAGATACCACTGGAGAACCGGATTATTTTCACTGCATCTGGCTCCACAACCTAGAAGAGAATCAAGATGTGAATCTTAGTTTTCTAGGTCTTTTTAGTTTGAGTCCATAAAATATGCTAATGGGGCGTACGTACAGTTTTGTACAGCTTTACATTTTTGTAGAGATCTGTGTTGGGAATATTTCCTAGGGCAGTGCATGAAGGGCTGGAAAAAAAAATTAAATATATAAATAAAAGAAAAATAGATAAATTAAATCTGAACTTAAGACAGATAATAAATACACAGTTGTATTAATTGTCTTTTATAAGTTTTTTGTTTATTGCAAGCAATGTCAGTACAAGATTTTGACCTGGTCTTAGACCCTTGCAGTCCCTGGACAGCAGACCTCGGGGAGGGAAAAGCAGCACAAGAACCAATGGGTTGTGCTGCAATGTAAGAATTATGTTGGTACAAGAAGAAAGCAGAAAGCTGCTTCTCCTTTCACTGTCCAGTCACAAGCTGAAGAAGGGACAAGACCTGTGAGGGTTACTTAACTTCAGCAAAGAAAAATCAGGTATTCTGACCTGCAGGACATTCTTTGCTGTGTGGCAGGGCCGAGTAATTCTCAAGACTGGATAGACTGAAACCCAATTCTATTGGCAGGTAAAACAGCTACAATATATTCCTTTATCTTTATATTTAGGTTTTTGTCTAGAGTTCTACTTAGAAAACATACTAAAAATAAAAAAAAAAGCATCAAACAAGTCGCTCTCTACTTCCATTGGATACCCTGACCATGGAAGTCAAGGAGAATGACATATCTAGAAGATAGTGTTGTAGTAGTTAACCTCTTCACATCTCCCATCACTGTGACAGATAGCCTCACTCAGGGCCGGCCTTAGGGGTGTGCGAGCAGTGCGGCCGCACAGGGCGCCATGGCAACAAGGGCGTCGTGCGGCCGACACAGCTCGTCCTGGGGGCGGCTTCTCTCCCCCTCACCGCTGGGCGCTGGCCATCCGATATGACAGCGCTCCCTCGTCCGCCCCCCCCTCCAGGGGGCGGGGGGCGCAGGTGGGAGCGCTGCCTGCTGTCAGGATGGCGGAGCGGTGAGGGGGAGAGAAGCGGCGCCCGCAGCTGTCAGGATGGCCGAGCGGGGAGGAGATCGGAGCCGCTGTCATCCTGTCAGTTTCAGGATGACAGCGGCTCTGTGCGTGGCTGAGCGGAGGATCGGTAAATATCAGTGATATTTACCGGTCCTCCGTGTGAGAAGGACAAACACTGGAGCGATCGTCTGATCACTCCAGTGTTTGTAAATAACTGGGGACACATAGTGCTATGTGTCCCCAGTTATGAAGGAACAGGCTGTGATTTACATCGCAGCCTGTTCATTCAGCCCCCCCAACAGTAAACAATAAATAAAAAAAAATAAAAAAATAATAATTTTAACCACTTCACAGCCGGCCGTTGTAAAAAAATGGCCGGCCAGGAGCTCTCTAGATCTGAGCGGGCGTCTTTAGACATCCGCTCAGCCACTCCCCCTCGCGCGCACCGCTGGGCGCTCATTAGCGGGAAATGCCCGTTATTTGAAAACAGGCAGCGATGCCTGTTAACATACAAGCGATCCGCCGGCTATAGAGCCGGCGGATCGCTTGTATGAGGTCCCGTGAATTGCGCCCTCCCCGGCTCCCCCCCTCCCGCTGTCAAGCTGGTCCCGGGCTCTGCTGTGCCCAGTGCGAGCCCGGGACCAGCATATGGCCTCTGTCACAGGGGATCAGAGGGAGCTCGGTACACGAGCTCCCTCCGGTCCCCTCTCCGCTGTCAGAATGCGGAAGTGGTGTATATGACATCACTTCCGCATTCTTGTGTCACTCTCCAGCTTCAGATGCTGGAGAGAAGCTGATGAAGCAGATCTGTGCTTCATCAGCTTCTTCAGGGGGGTCCTAGGTGACATTAGGGGTCTTGGAGACCCCTGATGTCTCCATAAAGAGGACCTGTCACATATTTTGCTATCACATAAGGGGGTTTTCTAACCCCCCTATGTGATAGCAATAAAGTTTCCCCCCCAAAAATGTAAAGTTACAAATAAAAAAGAATTACATTTTTTTTAAAGTCCCCCCCATACATACACGCATGCAAACAGGCGTCGGGTGCGCATACGTGTGAAAACGACGATTTCGCCCATTACGCCGCACATGTTACATATCGCCGCGAACGTCGGAATGAGAGCAATAATTGTAGGGCTATCAATCACTGATAACACTAAACTGATGAGCGGTAAAAGCTTTTAAAGCGTCACCTATGGTCAATTTTGGGCATGGTAATTTTTTGCGATTTTGCGGGTGCGCGCAATTTTAAAGCATGACATGTTTGGTGTCTATTTACCCGACGTGACCCCGTCTTTTTATATTTTACCAAAAATATGGGTGATAAATGGGTGTGGTTACTGGGGGTGTGGCCACTAAAGGGTGTGACCACTGAGGGGCGCTGTAAAGCTTTCTCGCACAGGGCGCCTAAAGGCCTAAGGCCGGCCCTGGCCACACTGTCCAATAATAAGGTGAAGGAAAGGGCCTAGGCACTGACAAATTACATTGCCCTCACTTTGAGGCCCAAGGAGAAAGTTAAAGCTCCAAGAAGGTAAACTGGAGATGTCTGCTGTGGAATTCAAGTGGCATTTTACTTCCCTCCAGACCACTATAAGCAAAATAATATTATAAATGAGAATTAAAAATATGTGCCATATTGGAGAAATAACCCTTCATTCCTGTACAGTAGACACAACAGGAAGCGATAGGAAACATCTAGGAAGTGAGGGAAATGCCCTCTTGGACAGCTGTCTTCGGAACAGGTGTCCCCATTGGAAGATTTTGTCCTCTTTCTTGTTCTGAGAACAGTATACAATCTTCTAGATAATATACTGTGGCGCTATCCACCTGTTGTTCCAGCACCCGTCGAATTCTGGGGTATATCGGTACGGTGTGCTAAGGGGATATTACAAAGACATTGCTAATAAATAGACCCCTAAATGAAATAAACTAAAGTACTATAAATGTACCCAAAACAAAAATAAAAATAATAATAATAATAATAATAAGGGATGCACCGATATATCGGCCTCCGAAACATATCGGCCGAAAATGGCACTTTTGGCATAATGTCGAAAGAGCCATGTTTCGGCCGATACATCGGCGCATCCCTGGTTTCTTTTCTCCCAGAAAAGAAAGTGACAGCCAGCCGAGCGCTGCGAGCGGCCGGCGTCTCTCCTCCCACACCGCTCAGCCGCCTATCACAGTCCGGCAGAGCGGTGTGTGGGCGGAGACAGCCAGCACTGTCACAAGAGGCTGAGCTCTCCTCCCACAGCGCTCAGCCGCCTATCACAGTCCGGCAGAGCGGTGTGTGGGTGGAGACAGCAAGCGCTGTCACAGGAGGCTGAGCTCACCTCCCTGCTCCGCTCGATCAGACTCCTGTGACAGCGTGTCAGAGAGGAGAGCGAGCACAAACACTCAGCGATCAGTGATCGCTGAGTGTTTGTAGATAATTAAGGACATGGTATGTTAACTATATCCTCAATTATGAATGAATGGGAGTGATCTGCATCACCTCATGTTCATTCATAGTTGTAGGTATAGTAAACATACCATGTCCTCATGTTATCAATGAACAGGAACACTCATTCCTGTTCATTGATAACAGGGGATACAGAAAGAGAGATAGAGGACTTTGTGTTCTCAATCTCTTGTTCTATTTTAAAGGGAAACATCAGGGGTCTGTTTAGACCCCCAATATTTCCCCAAAGCCCCTAAAAGCAATGTAAAAAATAAAAATATTTAATAAAAAATGAATACATATAAAAAATTAAAAAGTTTATAAAAAATCAAATATTAAAAAGCTTTTTAAAAATTAAAATAAAAAAAAAACATTCTCGGTATCGGTTTCAGCCTGACAATTTTTTTTTATTTCGGTTTCCTTTCGGTTTTAAAATTTCCATTTTGGTGCACCTCTAATAATAATAATAAAATATACATCTGCTTTGGTAATTTATACTGTAAAACACATTAAGCCAAAATAACTTTGTTCATCCTGCTTTTAATTAGGAATACACATGGAAATATATATACTATTGTTTTAAAACAATAGGTATCTGTTCAAGTGAATTACTTAAGACACGTTTAAAATCCCAGAGAGTGTACTCACAACTGCACTCGCAGAACAACGGTGAGCAATCCAAACACCAAACCGGCCAATAACCCCAGATCCAAACCCAGGACGATGGCGGCGATACAGGTGAACACCCAGATCAACTGAAATACAACAGATAGGTAAGATATACTATATGTGCAGACATAACATACATTGATGCTCATATATTTCAGTCTAATGTATTCAAACTCTTTACAGGGAAAATTTGCTTTCTTGCAAAGGATGTTGTAGGTAGGCTGAGCTGAGAACATGTTTCATAGAATCCAGAATACTATATTATGTTGCCACTTTAATGGGGTCTACTTATAAACAATGTGTAGGGTCATTCGCCCTTTGAATATCTTTAAATGTTTGTTTTGTGAGAGTTAATGTAAAATAAGTGTTCTTTCATCTTTTGTTACAAATCAAATGTAATTCTGAATGTTATTAATGTAATATGTAATTGCATTATGGCCACCAGATGGAGCTAATGAGCTTAGAACATAAATACTTATTTCCTATGCTCCTCAGCTCCCTCACGTGGCAATAATGCAATACTACACTACATATCACATTACTTCACATTTGATTTGTAATGGAAAAAAAAAAGAACATTCGTTTTGTGTATTCGTACAAAACAAACATTTATAGATATTCACAGGGCAAATGACCCTGTGAATTAATTATTAAGAAACCCCTAAAAGTCACATGTTCTGAAAATACACCTATTTTAATGTTGGTTTGTTCTCAGAGTATTCTACAATCATGAAGCTTTTAGTTAGTGTTCATTCACGGTGCATTGGCAGGCAGATCTAAACACCCCCAAATGACAGGTTTAACTGTGCCCACTGATCTAAAGGACTCCATACTGGCCAACAGGGTGTGAGTGTTGACATGTTGTGTGCATCCATTGCTTCCCCCCAACTGGTGGTACAATACTGCCAATGCAACAGATATTGGATGCTCTTCTTTGTCTAACTCAGTGTAAACTTAACCTAAGGGCTTCAAGCCAGAGTCCCAAAAGTCTCCTTATTCCTTGGCAGTCCAGAATCCAGATACTTTAATGTGATAAGGGGCCATAAGGAGTCTTTAGCGAAAGACAAAATATGGAACAGAACACTGTAGATTAAGCTCTACACTCTGATATGGCACTAGCATCCACCCAAAACCAAAACTAGAATGCGCGTGTGTGATATATATATTTATATACATATAATTTTCTTTGTTTTATAAAATGTAAATTAATTTGTATACTTACGGAATCCCATTTGTTTTCCCTCCACAGCCTCGGTACATCTTTGACTTGCCAGAACATGCCTTTTAGGTTGGCAACACAAATAGCTGCCAAGACAGACTGAAATAAATAAGGAAATAATGATAAACCTCTGGAGCAAACAAGTATAAATTCAGCTGTATAAAAAAAGCTTAATTTAGTGCCTGTGTGTATTAAAGAAGCTAACTTGTTTTAAAAGTGTACCTATAGCCAGTGGGTGGCACCTTTAGAGCCTTCAGCTTCCCGTGTCACCTCCCCGCATCCAATCTGCACATTGAATAATCACCCCATTGGCACGTTCTGCTTTATCTCTCTTCTGCTCCTGTAAGTTGCCTAAACTCCGTCCCTTCCAACTCCAAATTCCTGAAATGTATCAGGATCATAGCACTGTGCAGAACAAAGGACTCTGATTGGCTTAAAGTGATGGCAAGGGGCTATGGGAAGTGTTGTGCAAGAAATTATAGGAAATGAATAAAAAGACAAAATTTTTCACCATTACACCAGCAAGGTTGCAAAATACATGAGGCCTATCAAAGTGCTCTTGAGCTGGGAGTTTCTCTCTGCCACTAGTCACGGTGATGGACTTAAAGGTGGGCTGTTATATTTGCTTCCATGTCTGAATTCCATTGATTTTATTTTTTGTTTATTCGGTTGTTTATTAATTAATTAAATCATTTATTTATTTTGTCCATATGTGGATAGCCTTACCTTTTGTAGCGGTTCCAGCAGCCGGCCAAGTGCCACTATTGCAATTAGCACGACTCCGGCTGAAAACATGCTGGCCAGCTGAAAAGGAAAAACAAAGCAAAAGCCAGGGTTACAACCACTGATAATAAGTAGTCTTTCTCATTACCAGACGTATAAAAAGGGTGAGTCCACTTCAAATTGTTTGAGAGTTGGGCAGTGACTGAATCAAACAATGCCCTCTTATATCTATTGAAGCACTCAATGATGAGATCTTTTCATTGGCGTTATGGTAAAGGGGTAAATTACCCCTCTGATTGGAAGTTGTAAGCTGTGGGCAATCTTTAAATACAGATTGCCAGTGGCTCATTCCTTGCAGTAGGCAGCCGAAGGTTTGGCATGGCATGATATACAAGCTACAGAGATCTGGTCTCATTTATATCAACTAATTTAAAAAGATCAAAAGTGTGTTCTACAGTGACATTCATGCTCTCCTTTTCACAGTCTCTGTAAGACACTGATGTATTGATTATGGAACTATTTACCTGGGTTTTGCCTCCAGTGCCTTCTTGGATGGCTGTTCGTGACAGAGCAGTACTGGCGCAAAAACAAGAGAAAATTCCGCTAAATAGATTGCTGGCCCCATAGGCAATAAACTCCTGTTGAAGGAAAATAAATAATTTGAGGTTATTTGGCTACTACCAAACGCAAAGTGATAACAAGCAGATGATTGCTGTTTGAATTATTCCTTCAATCCTCTTTGCAAATTTCATAGAAAATTAAATAAAATTTGAGATCAAACTATTGGGTTGCTGCAAGTATGGCCCATATATGGGAGTTGGTATCATTCTTGGTTGGGAGATCCTTGGCATCCGGGCCCTTGGAAATACACATCAGTACCGTTGAAGGTTCTCAACAATATCCCCTGTAATTCTGTAAGAGTGGCAAGGACTGCAGAGTCATGTGGCAGGAAGTTCACATCAAAGACAAACTGAAGGAAATATTGGATTAGCATAGTTTTTATGATTCTTGTACAGCATAAGCCCCAATAAATAAACCAAGACATGACCACCATGCCCTCAGTTCAAAACAAACTCAGAATAAAGGGCGTTACCTGATTGCCGTCCACCGGATAGTTATGTTTGGTTCCGTAGACTTTGGCCACAGACACGGCCACAGCATAGGAAACTATACCGATGGAAAAAGCTGACCCAATCATGGACTGAAACATGGACACATCAGGAGCCATTGGGGGGAGGAATCTGAAACGAGAAAAAAATATTTACATATTCAAATGAAGAAAGCAAGAATGTCATGTGACTTCCCATACTATCCTCTGGTACGAATTGCAACCCCTTGTATCATAAGCAAAGCATTCATTTTAACTTTTAGAAATTCCATTATTGATTTTATCATTTATGTGGTAGAAGTCTAAGCTCCTTTTCACATGTATGGCAGACTAATCCTACTCCCCCCACCCCACGTATATAGCTCTGTGCACCTCCATGCTGAGTTTCAATCAGAGAGAGAGTATGAAAGCAAACAACTGCCGCTGTGCTCTTCCCTTGGTGCTCTTTGACAAAAGAGTCATGAGTGTAAGTTGCATGACATGCTTTTTTGCAATATACTGTGTGTAGTCAATAACTGTAGAACCATGTCTCACCAACTCAGCATGGTCACATATACTGCATGTGACTCTTCCACACATCCCTTGTGTGTCCCAGGCTCACTAGGCCTCCTTGGCTGATTCCCAGGTGCCTCCAACACATACACAGCCTTCTGGCTTCGGGGTGGAGTCCGCCTGACTCCTGGACACAACCCGTCCCTCTTCCCAGCAGGAGCCCAGAGCATTAGCCAGCACCCTTCCCATAAGTGCAGTGCACAGGTGTGCAATCATTAGGTGCTGGCCCCTACTAAACCATGGACCCAGGAATGGAGATTTCATCCCTCCCAATTCTCTTTGAAATCTCCCAGTTCCAGGATCCCATACCAAATCCAGGTTTTCTGGAGAGAACTGCAAAGCCAGTTCTTTCCCAGCAAAATAATTTGTTTCCTGCAACTGCTCAGTCCCTCTGGTCGAGAGTCCTGGGTTACTACAACCCCCAGTTCCACTATATATATATATATA